CAAACTGTATTAATTTGCTACACCACTGTAATCTCACTGACGCTTTCAGAAATGCCGCTCATAGAAACATTCAATATTTTGAGTCCCCATTAATAAGAACTAAACAGCCTACGAAGAGGTGAATAATATCTGTTTCGGGGACTCAATGATGGGGTTGTGTGCCTGTAAGTTATCCCACGCCACAATCTCATCATTGTCTTTCAGGGACATATTTGGTCGACTTCTCATTCGGTGATACGACGATTAACCAACCGACCGATCGACAAAGAAGAAGATGAAGAAAAAGATGATATGTCAACAGGTGGGTTGTGATGCCTGAGCTATATACAGCACGTCCTAGCTAGCTTGTGCACGTTTAGGGCATATTTCATCAATTTCCCATTGAAAGATATGAAGAAACGCTCGCATGTTTCAAACTGTATCAGTTTACTACGCCACTGTAATCTCACTGACGCTTTCAGAAATATCGCTCAGAGAAAGTAATCCAATATTTTGAATCATTATTAATAAGAACCAAACAGCCAACGAAGAATATCTGTTCCGGAGACTCACTGGCGGGGTTGTGAGCGTGTAAATTGTATGTAGCACGCCACAATCTCATCATTGACTCTCAGGGGCATATTTCATCGATTGCTCATTCGGTGATACGACGAATCACTGGCAAGGTGCGTGGAAGCTACGAAGAACATATATCACCGTTGCCTCATTGGAAAGTTTCTAATGTGTGTTTTAAAGATCACTCATAAACTTTAAACAGCGAAAGAAGGAGAAGAAGATATGTTTAGGAGATTTAGCGGGGTGGTTGTGTTGTGTGAATTATATTCTCCAAGATCAGGGGCATATTATATTTATTTCTCATTTAGTAATATGAAGAATTTATAACTCCACTGTAATCACCCTCTCGTTCACAGAAATATTTCACTCCTTTGTACTGTTATTCAATGTTTTAAAAGAGCCACATAATTTCCAAACAAAGGAAAAAGGGAAAAAAACTGTTTTGAGATGTCTCTGGGACGTTTGTGGTGTGTGAATCTCTTCACTTTCGTGTTACAGGTATCAAACCCAGAGTGTGCGGCCGAGAGTTTTTATTTTTGTTTCTTTTGCCATTAGTTATTCACTTCCCACGCAACAGAGATAGACCTTTAATATTCATCGGTAAGTAATTAGCAATCAACTGACGGAGTTTCTCAGGAACCCGCGGACTACGCTTTACTAACGGGGACCTGTAGGGGTCATGAAACAGTTTCTAGAAGTTCTGGATATCATTTTACGAATGTTTTTAACTGCAAATTTCTTTCATTATTAATAATTTTATAGTAATAAGAAATTTATGTTTCGTAGTGTTTCTTTTGTCGATTTGTAATTCTTGTTTTCTGTGTTACGACTAAATAACACCGTACTCCCGGCTTTCTTGATGACGTATGTTATTTTACTGAACTAGTTCCAGAATCCTGCTGTTTATGTCCGATCTTCAATGCCATATGAGATTGTGCAATATGTTAGTATATGAAAATGTATTTTATGTGAACGATGTGAACTGTAATGTTGTACAATCATTCCTTAGAATTTCACCGTTGCAAAACCAAATGACAAACAGGAATAAAACTATGTATTAAAGATTAACAATTAACACAGTTGTGTAGTGATGAGAGTAAGAAGTGTACGAGAATAGTGTCGCTGTCAGACACTGTAAGCAGACGCTAACGAGTCTTAAGTAATGAAAGACGAAGATCAGTTCCAAGATTTCAGAGAGGAGATTTAGGTTTTGCCCCATATGATGATCTCCGCTCACAATATTAGCCAAATATTTCTTCATCTCATAGTTTCTTTTTTATAATAGCTTCTATCTGCATCAGTGCAAGGACCCTCCGTTTAAAATAGCGGAAGTTTAGTGTGTGTTTTGGGAGTCGCAGTGAGGAGATGTGTGGTGTGTGTATTTTATCACACCACCATCCTCTCACTGTCACTCAGAGGCATATATCATCGTTTTGTAAATCATTGTTATAATGCAACTTTCACATGTTTCAATCATCAGAATGTTTTCTGTACTCGAAGGTGAGGGTGTGGCGAGTCATTTGTACATAGCTCGCCAAAATCTTGTCATTGAGTCTCTAAGGCAAATGTAATCGATCTGTAATTCAGTGATATAAATCATCACTCATAAGTTCTAAACATCAGAAGGGTAAGTTTTGTTTCGGGGTTCCGTTGCAGAGGGTAGTGGTTCGTGAACTTTGTGACACCACCATCACAAAACTCCTATTTCATCGGTTTGTAATTCAACGACGTTAAGAGACAGGATTCTAAAACCAGAAGGCGATTGTGTCTTTGAGTTTCTCACTGAAACATTTGTGGTGTTTCAATATATCTTGCAAAAATCTCCTCGTTGACCCTCAGGGACGTAATTCATCGTTTTCTAATTACGTGATATGAAGAAGTTTCAAACTGTAGAGGAAGAAGTTGCCAAATGAGGTCTCATAAAAAATTTTTCTATGTGAGAATATTATCACTATTTTAGCTTAAAATAAAGTCAGCATATTTGTTCGTTTCGTAATTTAATGATATTCGAACAGCACTCGGTAGTGTGGATTGACGCCGCGAGATTCCAGAATGCCTAGAAAATCGCCATTTCTCTGCGCCCGTCGAAGCAACAGTCACACTGTTGCCACTTGACGAACTTACGAACCAAGTAAAAATCGTTCTCACAATCTCCAGAAATTAAATTAAAACGAATATATACTGATATTATACTGAATATATACTTATATGCTGATATTAAATTAATACAAAAATATACTGATAAGATAGCTATAGTATCAAGCAAAAAAAGGTAGTAAAGGACTGTACATTGGCAGAGATTTGATTGGTCTCAAGAGATTCAAGTGGTAAGATCTCTGTCGAGATCGATATTATGGCTGCACGAGCAGAATTGAAAGACATTAAACGCAAATAGATACTTGGCCCTAGACCAATGGGATATTCCACTTCGGAAATTGTTATATTTAATATTCCAAGATTCACAGTGTAGAGAGTGTACCCAGAATACTTAATGTCTTTCACGATTTCTCATCACAGAGAACAAATTTACCGAAAGCCTTTGCTGAACAGAAGGGAGCAGGGAACTTTGCGTTAGTGTTAATGACAAGCAACAACCGCGACACTGCGTTAAATAACCTATCTGAAACGATAGTACAGTGAAATTTGGTTTTAATAACATATGGGTTCACAAAATGGAAGAGAAATGTGTGTTTCACTGCCTCAGTGTTTAAACTTTATTACAGCACCATCTCCGTTGTCATTCATATTTCTTCTGTTCTAATCCAATAGTATGAAGCATCAGTCTCAATTATCGAACAGCGCCAGGAGTTGTGTTTCGGGGTCTCAGTGTAGAGGTGGTGGTAAGTGAATTTGATCACACCACCATCTTTACACTGACACTCAGGAGCATATTTCATCGTTTTGCATTTGAACGGTATAAAAAGTGACTCACAAGATTTAACAGCCGAAGATGTGTTTTGGGGACTCATCGGAAGATTGTGGTAAGTAAATTAAATATAGCACGATACTGTCTCGTTACTGACACACAGGTGTTAAATGCATCCATTTCTAATTGAAACAAATAAATGATCAGAAGCTCCAAACAGCAGAAGTTGGTTTCCGAAGCACCGGTGCAGAGGTCGTCTTTCGGAATGCCATTGAGGAGTTTGCAGAGTGTAAATTTGGTATCAGGCAACAATCTGCTCAATGACAGTCAAGCATATATTTCACCAATTTCTAATTGATATACAGAATTATTCAGAAATTCCAAATAGCAAAACAAGTTATGTTTCCAGATCTCACTAGAAATTTTGTGGTGTGGTAATTTTATTTTGTCACTATCTCCTTAATTTCGTGTCTCTGGAGTGCGCAGGCGAAAACTTTTTTCAACTCGCATTTTTTTAACACGTGCTACGCGCAAAATTCGGTTTCTCGTACTTGTTTTCCGTTTGCGCAACAGCTATTTTTTCACAGTGTGCGAAACATCGCCAAGCGTGTGTGAAACATCTGTAACCATCCGCAATTGTATTTCGTCCTCACGAATTCTTTTGTTTATTATTTGTGCACAAACACTCACTGGAAGCCATTTACTTATGTGCAAGTAAAGTATTTCTTGTTAATTCTTATTTAATTTATATTTATTTACTTTACTAAATGTGTTTCGCTAACGGCGTCTTAAAAAATAGTTTACGCAACACGGGCGCGGTTGTGATTCCTGCACTTGTCTTTCGCGTCATTTTCTACAAAAATAATTCTTAAACGTTCACGTACAACTTTTGAGAACAAGAGATTTTTCACTTAATTTTTGCTTCAAGCAGAAGTAATGTTTAAAATATTCCCAAACAATCCAAATTATTTCCTTTAATTCGTACAAAAAACAGAGCAAACGCGCTTTTAAGAATAGCGCATGACTATTATGTTTAACTATTTGTATTTTCGAAAATATTTGACAATTTCTTCTATGTCTCCATACAACACGAATAGGAAACATTGAGATCTTTTGTGAATGAAATATGTTTTTTAAATTTTTATCTTTAGTATTATCATCAAAACTATCCTAATCTTTAAATATTACGAAATCAAATGGGCAACATCTTCATCTAAATGTTGGGAAGGATGTGCTTAGCTTTGGGGCAGATAGGGCTGTGGAAACTTGCATCACGCGTTCAAGCAAAACAAGTGTTTGAATTCGTTCAAAATGAAAATAATATTTCATAGAGATACAACATTTTCCTTATCCGACAGCCAAATACCATATGAAGCCTATATTTTGTCTTGGTAAAAATCTAACATACGATAATTTTTTTCCTTAGATACATTTCTGTAATACGTGAAATGAATGGCTTGGTATATGTAAGATGATTGATAATATGGTATAAATGATGCCGCAATGAGTAATGTGATGCTGTAAGACCGAAGAACTGTGAATACGCAAAGCATTGGCCCACCTCCACTTTAACATGGATATGAACCCCGGTACTCCAAGGAGTAGGTGAGTGATCTTGCTCCTAAACAGCGTGTCGCAAAGTACAATGCAGAAGAGGAATTTATTTGTTGCTGTGGTAACAGAGCGTCTGGTTATAATGTATTATAGAAACTCTTTCTTTGCAAGTTATTGCTTTAGTGTTCTGTGTTATCCGTTTAAGTCTTGGTAGAAGATTATGTAATAGTTTGGTTTCCTTGTGTCCGTAGAATACTCTTTTCATTTATTTGTAAAAGATGACGATAGTAAAAAGTGTTTTGGATAGAATGATTTACCTTTTGATTTAGTTGGGTAAAGTTTGATTTCCAAAAAATATGACAAGTGTATTTTATTTAGGAAAAGTTGTATTCTGTTTGTAATAGTCACCAATAAAAAGCTAGACTATGAAAGCCATCACTCGAAAGTTTTAAACTGCGGAAAATATGTTGCGGTTCCCGTTCAGGAGCCGTGGTGTGTGAATTTCGTCTAGCCATAATCTCAAAGACATTCGTCTGTAAAATTTATATACAGTAGTATTCTCCCTGGCGTTTAGAGACTTATTTCCTAGACTTAATATTTAATGATATGAAATCTCAGTTTGCAAGTTTTCAACTGCAGAAAAGGTTCTGTTTCGCTCTCTCAGTGCCGAGTTTGGGGTGTGTGAATTTTATCTCTCCACCCTCTCTTTACTGAATCAGAGTCACAATTGATCGGAATAAAATTAAATTTTATGAAGCATTGCTCAAATGTTCATACACCAGGAGGAAAAGATGTGTTTCAGGGACCCAATGGTGATGATGTGGTGTGTAAATAAAATATATCATGCCACACTATCCCCATTGACTCTCGTTGCACATTTCATTAACATGTCACTTGCCACTGACAGAACAAGAAGAAAAAGAAGAGGAGTAAAAAGATGTGTTACAGGGTATCAACGGGGTGGTTGAGACGTGTGAATAGTATGCAGCACGCCTCATTCATCGTGTTGACGCTCTGGACGTATTACATCAATTTCTCATTGAGGAATATAAAGAATTGCTCACTAGCTCCGAACTGTAGAAGAAGAAATTGTGTTTCGGGGGTCTCAGTGGAAAATTTGTAGGGTGCGACTTATACGTCACCATACAAAACAATTCACTGAGATATAAATTTTAGTGTTTTGTTGAAGTGGTTGTTGGGAGTTGGGTCGGAGTTGTGAAGTAGTTTGTTTTTGGTGTTCCTGTGGAGAGTTTGAAGTGTGTTATTTTTATGACTGCTCCTTCTCTGCTCAAAATATACGCAGCATATTTCTTACTTTTGAAATTCAGAGATGTGGAGCATTGCTCAAACGTTTCAAAATCCTAAAACGAATGTGTTTTTGAGTCTCGGTGCAGTGCGAGAAGATTGTGCAGTGCGAATTTTATGAGAGCACTGACCTATCACTGCAGCTCATAGGCATATATGTCATCGGTTTGTAAATCAATGTTACAAAGCAGCATTCATATGTTTTAAACAGCGGATGATGTGTTTTATGACTCATGTTCAAATACTGGAGGAGTATTTTATGACACGATGCCACAAAGATGCACCAACTGCATGATACAAACAAATTAATAACCATGCTAATAAGCAGTGTACCAAACTAACTATTTGTACTTCTTTTCCACATAAAAACACACAAAAAAATCAGGCTAAAATTTATAATGATTTCATGTGATGACTGAGATGTGTAAATAAGATGAGAAAATGCATTAATTTAATATCATCTAACAGTTAAAAGTACGAGAAAGTATGTGGTGTTGCAGAGCCACTAATTATTTCATAAATAAAGTGACAATACACTCTCATTTGGAATGAGGTAAGTCCAAATAAATTATTTTAGCAAAGTTCATTACATATCAAATTTTTAAATTTATCTCCCTTTAAACCCTAACAACAGATTTTAGATTTCAAAGAAAATATTTCTTTTGTCAGTAGTAATAGACACTATATATAAAATACATAAACGAATTGCAACATATTTCACTTTCAGGTTCTGTGTGGAGTATCTTGTCATTATGCAGCACTGCATCATTCTGTCGACCCTGCAAGACACCTTCCTAAACGTCTCCGGTTCAGATGCCAAAGTAAGGATTTTGTTTCATTTGAATTAATTTTCTAATCAAATGTTTTTGACACTAATGTGTATTTGCAGATTTATATAACCAGAAATGCATCCAATGAGCTGTAACAAAACACACATTCCTGCGAAATTCGTACGTAAATGCCAGATTAATGACATATCATCCTTCTGCTTACATCAAAAACAAAGGTACGTATGGGACTGTCCTCATATTACTTGTATCTTCATGGGGCTTCTTTTTACTTTCTACAAAACTGCCATTTTTTAAGCCCCCAACTTGGATGATGAATTGATAATCCCCCAGATTTTTTTCCTTCACCATATGAATTGGTGTTTTTTCGCGTTTTGAAGTAATAGAAACCCTTCGCCTGGATTCCGGATTAAAGGATTCGAAATAGTACACTAAATTTGTTGTAGAGCATAAACATGATTCGGAGACAACCACATGCTAATAAAGCGCTAATCCTTTACGCAATAAGCGATTCGGCTTTCCGTTCATTGCTTATTTCTGCACGTTTTTATACTCTCTGGAAAGTGACAGAATCGGCTGATCTTGAAGAATTAGCTTTCGCGTGGAATTGCTGCACAGAACCACCAGAATATTCAAACCGTGTACTTTGTGTCGCGGATGACAGTTTTTCAAATGTGCTGATGACGAATGATATCACCTGCCACCAGGTGAAAGATCATTTCCGAGGTCACTTTCAACCATAAGCTTTGGTTTTCATTCGCATGTTTCGCACAGACCAGCACAGATCAGCGAAGTCGGCATGGTCATGAGTACACACGTGACACCAGCAGAAAGGTAGGTCCTTTCCGCAGTCACATTCAACAATAAGGTTTGGTGCTCACTCAAGTGTTTTGCAACAAAACTATACAGCCCAGCACAGGCCAGCATAGTCGACATGGGCATGAGTACAGCAGAAAGGTCCTTTCCGCAGTCACATTCATCAATAAAGTTTGGTGCTCATTCGCGGTTTTCGCAACTCAACGATACAGGCCGGCTCAAGCTGCTCGGGCATGAGCAAGACTTCGCCGCTGATGCCCGCAAGCAAACTGGATATTTTGCTTTTAATTGCTGGCCTAGAGCAAAATCCCCGCTCCGGAGAAGAAATACTGCAACTGACCCTGCGGCACATACCTACCGCAAGTTCGGAAGAAGAGACGAGAGGATTCGGAGACCGGAAGCGCAACTGCGAGTCTGAAGCAGTGAAAGACGAAGGTCTGTTCCGGGATTTAAGCGAAGAGATTACCGTCTCTCAACTTGACTATCTCCGCTCACAATTGTCAGCCGTATATTTCTTCACAATGTTTCTTCTTTGTAATATCAGCGATATGAAGCATCGCAACATCCCGCCGTTCAAAACATCAGAGGATTAATGTGTGTATCGGGAGTCTCAGTGAGGAGATGAGTGGTGTATGTGTTTTATCACACCACCATCTTCTCACTGCCACTCAGATGCATATATCATCGCTTTGAACCTCAATGTTATCAAGCATCATTCACAAGTTTAAATCATCAAAAGGTGCGGTTCAAGTACTCAATGGTGGTATTGAGGTGAGTCATCTGTATAAAGCATGCGGCAATCTCGTCATTGTCCTTCCGGGGCATTCATCTCGATTTGTGATAAAAAGATTTGGAGTATCACTAACGAGTTCCAAACATCAGAAATAGAAATGTTTCGGGGCCCCAGTGCAGAGGTCGTGGTTCGTGAATTTTATCACACCACCACCTCTACACTGACACTCAGGAGCATATTTCATCGAATTGTAATTCAATGACGTGAAGAGGCAAGATTTTTATACCGGAAGACGACTGCGTGTTTGGAGGCATTAAGGAGTTCGTGCTGAGTGAATTTTATTGACCCCAATCCCCTCATTGACTCTTGTAGACATATTTCATTGTTTTCTTGTTTAGTGATATTAAGAAGCTTTAAAACGCAGAGGAAAAAGTTGTGTTATGAGGGTCTAAGTAGAAAGTTTGCTATTTGAGGATTCCATCACCATATTCGCTCTCAAGAGATGCAGCTAATTTCCTCGTTTCGCAATTTAATGATATCCTAACAGCTCTCGATTGTGTGAATTTCGATTTAGATTTATTCAGTCAAAAAAAACAGTAAATCTGTATGTGACAATCGAGGTTCACTTTTTTTATTCCATACTTATCAGGATACCGCGATTTCTGGCCCAACCCAGACCTACTTCGCGTCTCGTCCAGTTCCCTTTTCCATCGAAATTCCTTCCCACTTCCCGTCCGGAACATCAACTGATGGCACTGCTAATCCGGAGGTCCTAGATTCGACTCCCGACGGTGGCATCAGTCGTGTCAGGGCATCAGTCGTGTTGAGTTCAGTCGGTCTGGAGCAGAATTCTAGCTGTCGGCTTCTCTGAGCGGTAGTTTTTGTGGCCATGTACCGCGCGCGATATTTCCTTTCCCTTCCTTTTTCTATTCTCATCCCTCACTTTCACACACTTACACTAACCTGCACTACCACACATGTCAGGAGATCTGTTGGGAGCTCAGAGCATCTCCCGGGTGGTGGGAGACAACTGGTTGCGGAATACTGGGCTAGCCGACGGTAGGTCGGCGCCGGTTTTCGGCATCTAACGTGAGAAGACCACCGCCACCTGCTGATGAAAAACATGCCCTACACGTAAAGGCCTAGTTACCTTAGCCGTTGACGCGCCGGATGTCACTAACAATCAATGAGCCCCATTTGCCCTCCACACCGCGTCCTTGCTCCGCCGCATCCCGTTCCCGTGCCGCCCCCTCGCCCCGCCCCTCGCCCCGCCCAGCGCGCCCACGCCGTCGCCTCTTTCCCGCGCCCCACGTCCAACTGCTTCGCTCCGACTTCCGCTTCTTCGCGCGGGCTCTTTGCCACCCGATGCCGCCCTCGCCCTGCCCGACGCGGCGGCGACCGCTGGGGGTGCCACGTCCAGACCTTTCAATTAACCCTCGGAACGGGACTCCTCCTCCGGCCTGGGGGCTCATGCCACCGCTGACCCTCTCACTGGGGGGTCCTACGAGTCGAGTTCCGGCTGCGGCAGGACAGTTAGGTCGACTTCAGCAGCTGTCTAAAGGAGAATTCTAGCGGCTGCCTGCTCTGATCGGTAGATTTCCGTGCTTTCTCCAGTTAATATCAAGCGAATGCCCGAGCAGTATCGTAGCAAAACGGGCCATGGACCGCGCGCGATCTTACCTTCAACTTCCTTATCTTCTCACCTCTTAACTACACACCTACACACATTCACTCACATGGAGTACCCTATCATACTTATCACAAGAACAATTGGGAGTTCATTGGGACCAGCGCATCCCGGCTGGGGCGGTGCCCCGTTGATGGGAAGTATTCAAGCATGTCGGTGTAGGTCAGCGCCGGATCTCCCCCCAGCCATCATTCAACGTATGTTTCTAAATAATTGCATATTTTATATTGTATTTTTTAAATTGTTTATAATTTTAAAACAGGTTTTTAAGGTAATTGCATGACTTTTTTATTTAAACTCGATGTCAATAAATTATTGTTATCTTGCGCAACAGTGCTCATGACCGTTCACCGATGTATAGCAGGTCGTTTTCCACAAAAGATAATGGCAGGAAGTCGACCAAGTAATACAAACACTGGTATGAGCGTACAAGAATGTCTTTATTGTCGAACGAGTCAGAGGGGCACGATCAGTTCAGATCCATTGTAGCAGCAAGTAATATCCTCGGCGGTGACGTGTAAAAGAGTGCCCGTGCTGTTTTTTCTTGTGTAGGAGTGACAAAAATTGAATGAAGATGGCAGGTACAAAAAAGGTACGCTTTGATTCATGTTTCAATCCTTTCAATTTAGAAAATCATGGCAGAACAGAATGTAAACATTTAAGACGTGTAACAAAAGTATCCTTCAAAAGTTGGGAATGCAATATATACAAATTACGTTGAACCTGAAAATTTGTCACAGATGCAGATGGAAAGCTGCAAAATTATTTATAAATTAATGTAAAACTTTTCAACGAAACGCTGAAACATTTTGCAGCAAACCTGATACAAGTCGACAGAGTAGACATTCAGAAGAAAACGGTAATTCGGAATTGAACATTGAAATGTGAGATGATGGTTATCTATCTCCGAGAGAAGCAGAAGCTTCAGCCAAGAGTGTAGAATTATCGCAGCTGAATGAAAGTTTAAGAATGTTGGATGAAATCCATATAAGAAAAAAAGAACTCAGTCAAAAAACCCCATCGAAAAGTGGAGAAAATAAGGCAAACATTAGAGACAGAGGTATTCGATTTAGCAGAGGTAGAGGGAAACAAGAAAATGAAGAATACATCACAGAAAAAGTTTTAAAAAAATACGAAACTTCTGCTAAGAATATATGAAATTAAAATTTTAACAAGTTTTGAAGATTGGTCTTTTGATGATTGGGAGAGCATCGCAGAAACTGCGAAGAGAGAAATTTTGTGCATCGCGTCCTGTGTTCTCATCACACGAGAAAATTCTGAATAAAACTATACATATTTGACAACATTAACATTTGCCGTTTGAATAATTAAATATTGAAGAGATTGTCATGGTTACCTTTATCTGGACGAAAATAAAAGTTCTCATTATGAATTTCACACTGTGCGCTTGTGCACGCTGCTTCTTTTTGCCGCGTTTCGAATTGCTAGCCCACGGAGACTACACAAATGCTTGCTGCCGAACGTACTAGCCAACTTTCAATGCGCCAAATACTCGTATTGCTTAGCTTCTCTGCACGATTGCTGCGAAATTGCTCGCGGTTCCAGATTTTCAAACAATACGATCTCGTCGACTCTTATGTGGAAAAAATTGGATTACGGAAATCTCTGAGAATGGTGAACTTGTTGCTAACTGGCCAGGAGGTGATGCGATCTTTCAGTCACCTTTGGAAGCTGTTAAAGGCCAACATCGTTAGAACAGTTGAAGATCGGTTGCAAAGAACTTCCATGTCAAATGTAATGTAATGAAAGACACAGATTTACGTTTTGAACTCTCAATATCTTTTATTTAAGACAAACGCAAAACTGAGATTTTAAAAAGATTTTGAGATATAAAATATTGCACATATCAGCGCCTATATTAAGGTTTTTTTTTAAAATGACGAAAATATAAATATCTGAACAAAACTAAAAAGTGTTTTACTGTTTGTATTCATGAATATGTAAAAAATAATCAGAAAGATATGAGACATCGGGGTCAATTTTCCTTGGAAATCGTCCGATTGTTTGTGTGGAATGACCCAATATACATTTCAAACTCAAAGGGCATTTATTTACTTGAAATTGATCGAAAATTATCAAGTTTGGAGAAAATGGACCGACGGTTTGGGCACTAATTTTAACAGACTGTCGCGCAGTCAGACGGTTTCCAGTCAATCGGTTTTTCTCCATCAAGAGCACACAAAACATGGATTCTGATAACACAACGTGTCAGAGAAAATAATGTACTATATGTAGAAAAACGATTTATTCGGCGTCATTAGCAACATTGTATTCTCCGTTCGTGTGCCTTCACAGTGAATCTTTTATCTTATTTTGTGATCGTATATAAACAAAACTGGGATGTAGTCTCTTCTACAAGTGTGTTCAGTGAGTAGATGCTACGCGGGAGTGGAACCAAGCAATTATTATAGAAGCCCACGAAGACCTTTCAATAAAAGATTATGTGAGTAAAATATCAACTTTTATCAATTCAAGTGATATTCGATTTGTGTCGCTCATAGCGAGTAATAGAATTTGTGTGTTCTTAAGAACTAAGAAAATCGCTAACATCATAACAAATAACCCGTAAACTTTTACTATTAATGGCAATGAGTGTGATTAGAGTGTCAGACCCTTACTAAGCAGACATGTAAGAGTTATAATATCCTATGTTTGACCAGGTATCCCTCATGAGGTGATGAAAAATGCTTTTCAACAATTGAATGTTGACAATTCTAACATTACCTTTATCAGAATAGGTCGACCTAAACCAGGTATAGTCCACATTATGAGCTTCAGGATGCATATTGCCAGCAAATGTCCAATTAATAACATTAGCCTCACACCAGTTATAAGTGGAGCCACATATAATAATAATAATAATAATAATAATAATAATAATAATAATAATAATAATAATGATAATAATAATGATGATGATGATAATAATAATAATAATAATAATAATAATAATAATAATAATAATAATAATAATAATAATAATATTTCAATTGA